GCGGGAGGGGTCCATGTAAATCTGGGTCTTGGTGTCGTTGGCAGACCTCTTCAGCTCGGATGCCCGGCAGTGTCATACCCCCGCCCCTGGTCCGAGGTGGGCAGCAGGCATCCTCGAAGCTGGGGCCACAGGCGAGCTCGCAGGTCGTCATGCCCCCACTCGTCAGGGGGGCCCAGGTAAGCAGAGCTGTGCACACTGGGGAGACCTGGCAGCCTCAGCAGTTGTCTACCTTGAAAGTAGGGCCCTTCCCAGTCCTTGGGGCCAAGGTGCCTGTGCCTTCCAGTCCCCCTCCATTGTTGATCTCAGTCAGATTTCTTGTTCTTCCCACCCTACCCCAACAGCAAATCCACAGCATTAGGCAACATTCCAGCACAGGGCCACCGCCCCTCCTCCTGGCCCCCCGGGCGTCGGTGCCCAGTGTGCAGATTCAGGGACAGAGGATCATCCAGCAGGGCCTCATCCGCGTCGCCAATGTTCCCAACACCAGCCTGCTCGTCAACATCCCACAGGTGAGGGCTGCGCCACACCGGGTGAGGGAGAGTGTGTGTTCCACCTGTGACTGCTCCCCTTGGACCCAGGTTCTGGGGCACAGTAGTGTCTCCCCGGGCTGTGTGGCATGACCTGCCTTGCTCCCTCAGAGCCAGGCAGGGGCTTGGACTTGAGCTTCTAGGGGCAATAGGGCTGTGTGGGTCGTGGGCAGACTTGCTGTCCAGCACAGGTGGGCAGCTGCCGAGAGGGGCAGTGCACCGACCTGAGCTGAAGGTGGGGTCTGCTCACCAGCCCCATGGCCGAGGAAACAGCACGTGGCACACAGCAGGTTTAGGAGGATAGTCGAGGCCCAGGAGAGGCCGGTGATGGGCCCGGAGATGCCTTGGGGTGCCCTGGAGCCCATGCCGCCCTCCCAGCAGTGGCTTCTTTCGATCGCCTCCTCAGCAAATGTTCTCATGTCACCAGGCGCGCCTATTCTTAGCCACACGTCCCTTCACCTCTGTACAGAGCCTCTGAGATGGGGAGGGTCTGTCTCCACCCCCTGGAAGTAGGATGGGAAGAGCAGGACCAAGGGTCGGGCAGGCTGGAAACAGGCGCCTTGGCTGACAGATAAAATTACCGGGTCCGCAGGGGCTTTTGCTGCTGGGCGTGTTTGCTCGCTCTTCCTTCTTTGGCACGGTTTGTTCTTGCCTGCCTGCCCTCAGACAAGAGCGAGACTCTGAGCAGTGTCCCTGCCTGCTTTTGAAGGTCAGGTTCGAGTGTAGAGAAGATGGCTAGTCCTGGACTGACCCAGGCAGGTAGTTTCATACACCTGTGAACTTTTTTTTTTTTTTGGAGACAGTGTCTTGCTCTGTTGCCCAGGCTGGATGGAGTACAGTGGTGTGATCAAATATCTTTATTTTGAAACAAGTGTCTTCCTCTTGCTCAGGCTGGAGTGCAGTGGTGCGATCTTGGCTCACTGCAGCCTCTACCTCCCAGGAGATACTCCTGCGTCAGCCTCCCAAGTAGCTGGGACTACAGGCGCCTACCACCATGCCCAGCTAGTTTTTGTATTTTTAGTCAAGACAGGGTTACACCATGTTGACCAGGCTGGTCCTGAAGTTCTGACCTTAAGTGATCTGCCTGACTTGGCCTCCCAAAGTGCTGGGATTACAGGTGTGAGCCACCACATCCTGCCCACCCGTGAACTTTTTTTTTTTTTTTTTTTTTTTTGAGATAGAGTCTTGCTCTGTCGCCCAGGCTGGAGTGCAGTGGCGCGATCTCGGCTCACCGCAAGCTCCCTCTCCCGGGTTCACACCATTCTCTTGCCTCATCCTCCCGAGTAGCTGGGACTACAGGCGCCTGCCACCACGCCCGGCTAATTTTTTTGTATTTTTATTACAGACAGGGTTTCACCGTGTTAGCCAGGATGGTCTCCATCTCCTGACCTCGTGATCCGCCTGCCTGGGCCTCCCAAAATGCTGGGATTACAGGCGTGAGCCACCACGCCCGGCCCCACCCGTGAACTTTTATCCAGTCCTTTCTGTTGTCTTTGTGCCCTGAGGGTGGGCACAGGCAGTCAGTGGCAGAGAAGGTGGTCTGCTCCTAGCAGGGCTTGGGGAGGCTGTGAGGGGAAGGAGTAAGGGAACTGGCTGGTCAGGGGTGACGGAGGCCTGGGTTTGGTCTCAGTTGCTGAGGGGCCAAAAAACTGGCAGGGTGGTCTCTGGGAGCCTTCGTTGTAGGGTGGGACCCTGGGAAGGCATCCTGGACACCCTGCGCCCCACAGTGTGGCATTTGCAAGTCACTGGGTGTGTCCATTTTCTGGGGGTGGGGTGCACAGCTTTCCTCATATTTCCAGAGGGGTCCTCAGCCCCCAAAAGCTAAGAACATTGGCATGTGGTCAGTTCTGGGTTTCAGGGAGAGCCCCATCCAGCAGTTGTGGGGTTGGTGGAGATAGTCAAGGGTCTGCTTCTGGGATCCAGGCAGGACTGTGAAGTGGCACTGCAGCAGCGAGGACTAGGTGGAGGGTAAGGGGAAGAGGTTGGCCTAGCAGCTGCTTCCCCCATCACCCCATAAGAACTCAGGGACTACCTCAGACATTAGCATCCCAGGGGAGCACGTGCAGAGAGGCTCATGGGGGTGCTGCGGTGAGCACTCTCATACCCTGTGAGAAGGCAGTAGGCCAGGCCGTAGCCAGAGGACAGTGGCCCTGCTGGGCAGGGTGGTGACCTCCAGAAGCTGGTGACAGCCACGTGGGTGCCCTCACAATCACATGACGGAGCGTTGCAAATTATAGATTTTAAGTGTGTGCGGTGTATCTGGTAAACCTTTGCGTGCGTGTGCAGATGAGCAGTTGCCTCCTACGGTGGTGTGTTTCTCGCAGCTCTCCCTGCTGCCCTGGCTTCTAAGAGCCTGTTACCATGGCTGGGTTCACTTTCGTAAGGATGCCATCGTCAAGGGGCCTGGTTAGTCAGTGCAGTTGAAGGGACCTCGGGCATGGGAGCGCTGGGGAACATTCCTCTGGGCAGGCACACAGAGCGCCCTGACTGAGTTCTTGTCTCCCAAAGCCCACCCCAGCATCACTGAAGGGGACGACAGCCACCTCCGCTCAGGCCAACTCCACCCCCACTAGCGTGGCCTCTGTGGTCACCTCTGCCGAGTCTCCAGCAAGCCGACAGGCAGCCGCCAAGCTGGCGCTGCGCAAACAGCTGGAGAAGACGCTACTCGAGATCCCCCCACCCAAGCCCCCAGCCCCAGAGATGAATTTCCTGCCTAGTGCCGCCAACAACGAGTTCATCTACCTGGTCGGCCTGGAGGAGGTGGTGCAGAACCTACTGGAGACACAAGGTGCGTGGCCTGGACCCAGTGAGGTTGCTTCTGCCTCTGGCCTCCAAGGGTGCCCCCTGGGTTCTTTCCAACACACAGCAGAGGCTGGGGCAGGGCTGCCTAGCCAGGAGGGTCTTGGGTAGGCTTGGCAGGAACACCATCAGTGCCACTGTGGAGTCTGGACACTGTCCTCTGGTTGGGGCCTCTGAGAGCCAGGCCCTGAGAGGCTCAGGGCCCAGGGGGACGGGCAGTAGTGGCCTCCATGATGTTGGCGTGTGGTGGAGTACAGGTGAGGGTGCACATCTGTGGGAGACTGACGGGGTTGGCCTCCACAAAGGGCTCTCAAACCAGTGTGGGGTTGTGACACACAGGCAGAACCTTCCAGAGCTTCGAGTGCCCCCAGCTTCTGAGGAGGGAGAGGGACAGCCCACCCCATTGCCCCCGCCTGGGCAGGCTCGCACGATCACCCTCTTCAGGGGCAGTGTGGAGTGCACCTTGTCCTGGGGGATTTAAGAATAAAAGGGCATCGGCCGGGCGCGGTGGCTCAAGCCTGTAATCCCAGCACTTTGGGAGGCCGAGGC